CTTCGAGTGTTGGTCTGGGGTTCATTTACTCCCGTTCCTCCATTCTGGCTTCCCTCAACCTCCAAGTTGACGATGGTTTGGAAACCGAGTGGTGGTCTGTGCCCTCCTCCGGCTGCGGCCCTCTTCAACTCCTCCCTGAATTTCAGATTATTCTCCCTTTCAATCGTCGCCAGCCGCTTCGGCCTGGTCGATACGAAATCGATCAAGCCGCTCCTCCAGTGGTGGTTCTGGACAGCACGTCCTCGGCTCTTTATCTCTCCGATTCCAGAACTCCGGCCACCGCTGCCTGTACTGCACGTTCGATGGTCGACTCTTGTGTTCCCATCTTCTCCACCAGGTGAGCTTCTTGGAGGTCGAACTTCTGCTCAATGTTATGCAACCTCGATTCTACTTTTCCTATTTTCTCATCGGCTGCATTAGCCCGTTGCGAGAGCGCGGGTGTCACCATGATGAACCGCTCTGCTATGGACTGCTGATTCCAACACTAGATTGATAGGTAAATAAGGGAAATAAGAGAGTAAAGTTGGAGTCTTTGATTGATTAAAAGCTGAAACTACAATGGTGAAAGGTTCTACCTTGGAGGCTACTCTACTACTAAATAACGGCTACAAGATTACTTCATTCAACATGCCCTACTCTCTTACATTCCTCTGCTTATATACTCAGCATTCTCTCTTAAATCAGTGACCTAATCATTACAAGTTTTGTCTTCTTCTTCTCCAGGTAATTGTTGCCCTGTTGCCTCAACATTCGGTGGAAAATCTTCTTGTTTGTCCTCTTGTGACAGCTCATAGAATACCTGCCCTCTACCTGATTTGCGCCTTCTCTCATAAACTTTGATTTGCTTAGGAGACCTCCCTTGAGTCATAGCATTATCTTCCCGGAAGATAAGGAAAATAGAACAAGAAAAAGAAAAGAATGTGATTCAGACTGAATTTTTTATTTGCACTAACAAGAGATTTGGTTGATGCATTCATTTACTCTTGAAAATTTCTATCATCTTTTATTAGTTACTTCATAAGCAAAAGATTTACCGTTAAATAAACTAACAAGGGGGAAATAACAATTTTAGTTTGATATAGAAAAACCTACAAAAGAAAATAATGGAAGGTAACTGAATATCATACAAATTATGAAAGGTGATTATTTCATTAAAGAAAAGTAGGTAAAATCAATTTTTCCTAAATTGAAGACACATTCTATGATATAATAATCTAAGCAGCATTTTGATGCTTCTGCAATGAAAATAAATAAATAAATAAAACCTCTGTACTTAAAAGAAATCTGAACTAGAAAGGCCACAAACATTGAACCCAATTCCCTACTGGAACAATAAGAACGGAGAGAGAAAATCACAGATCAGAATGACCAGTAAGTAGAAATCATACATCAAAAGGAAGAATCGCCACAAAAAGATTCATCTTCGCCAGCAAATCTATGAACAAGAGCTACTGACTCAGACCCCATTGAGTTTTCAAGGATACAGAAAGGCTAATCAAGGGGTAAAATTATATAGCAAATATAAGTTCTGACTAATACTCTAGGCATGAAAGAAGCTGGTTTCTATGGGATCATAATACCAGAAGCCACCTTAGCACAGTTCATGAATTAATATATAGAGCCAAAAAATATTCTCAGAGGAACATTTAAGAATAACAATTAGTAAAGAATCACATCTTAAGTAACTCTTAGTCATTAAACCATTATGTTCGCCCTGGAAGTCTTAACATAGAACCAAAGCATATTTTACTCCTTTGCTATAACCAGCAGCTTTTCAATTGCTCGATTGTACAACCAAGAGCATGATGTGCACAGTGGACATAATGACACTCAAAGAGTAGGAATCTAGGGTAATTTTGGTTGTTCTACTGCATGTTTTTAGCCATTTTGATTCAATAATTGACTAGTTAGCATATTGAGATGTAATCAAAAGAATTACATATTTACTTGGGGTCTTACTTTAATTTGATGATAATCCCTCTTAGTCTCATACTCACTTTTGGCTTTTACATGTAGGTTTCTGGAGTGTCTCGAAGCTTGTTTGAGGAAAGGGTGCTCAAAATAAGTGATATAATGGAGCTTTGGAAGAACAAGAAACAAGTAGAGTATAGCAGAGAGGCAGTCAGTCAGAGAGCGGCACAGGCCCTGTAGTGCGCCCGCACCTAAGTTCGAAGATATGCTAATTAGTTACTGCTGCGGACAGAAGCCTTATGCGGGCGCACTATCCCTCGACCATACGCAGCACATAGCAGCAGCCGCATCCCAGCAGTGCAGGCATTAGCGCGGGCAGTCCACCCAAACTGCAAGCGCAGCTCAGCAACGGTGTGGGCGAGTAGTGTGGGAACTGCCCAAACAACCCACTTGGCGCGCCCGCACCAGCCTGCACATGACTTCTTAATTCTTTTTCATTAACCTTTTCATAAATATACTCCTTTTCTCATGTAATGAAGGAATTAGACTTTAATCATTTTACTGTTCATGTTTTTAGCTTTACCAGAGAATGTGTAGAAACAATCAAGTTCTTCAACATTTATGCAGGCTAATTCAACAGTCAAGATTTTATTCCTTGCACTTTAGTTTCAGTTTAGTTTTAGTTTCTTTTGATCATATATAGTTGTTAATCTATTAATTAGTACTAGTTTTGTTTGGTTGCTTGATTAAGTACAAAATCCTTTATTTAGTTCTCCATTTTGTTTGATTAGTTTCTTGCTGATTATTTCATATTTATAATCTTAGTATCCCTTAAATTTCTTCAATTTCCATAATTATTAGAGTGGTGAAGCTTGATCATGAGCTATTGAGTAAATTGAGATGAATTTGATGACTATTATGTGACTAAATTTGATCAATGATGGGTGGCATGTTGTTAGCTTAAAGTGGATTGATCATCCAAGGTAGTGAGTGTAATTGCATATTGATCTAACTTTGACGTGGAAATGGTAATTGAGATTGATATATTTGATTGCATCTTGGTTTAATGCTCTTGTAAATTTACCATAGAGGGATCTAGGTTGATTTTTAGAGAAGTTATACTTGGGATCTCATGATATACGTCATAAAATGTTACGATATGACAAATGCCAACATACCCTATAGCCATCCAATATTATTTGAGAAACATAACTGTCAAATAAGACTATTCTGCCAATGATGAACCTCAGGACTCGTAAAACACCAAATTTACATGTAATGAAATAAGTCATTTTTCAATGACTTAAATCATTATATAGTGGATACTATTCTCATTATTTGCAGCATCAATAACACACACAACTTTCTTAATGCTATGTTGCCACCACTCAGTCACTCTGCTCTATCAAGACCACCGTTGAACTAGTTGAAAAGGCACAAGCGCAGAACCACCTATGTCTTTATTTGAACTTTTACAAGGTCTCTTGTTATAAGCCTTTTAAATGGCATTAGTAAGAAGCAGTATCAGTTTTAACAACTAAAAGCTTCTATGTAATTTCTTTTAGCTTTAGTAGATTGGGGTTACTTTAAACATGTCTTAATGCTAAGATTTCTTCTATAGAAATCTTCAAGAGTGGAGCCAGATTTTTTTCAATAAAGCTGAGGTTTTAAATTCTTATAAAAGAGTCCATAGTAAAAACCAATACTTTTAGTTATTTGCATGAGAATAGATACACTTACAAATTGGATTTAATTTGGACTTCTTTTTCCCATTTTCAAAATGATGAGTTTTCATTACAGGATCTCAGCTCTAGAAATTGAAGTGCATAGTCCAGTACTCCCAGTCTATAATCCTTTTTTTTAGGAAGTAGGATATGTGCTTAATTTTAAAGTAAATAGCTTATCCCCAATACACTAAATGTAAGATACAATAACTCAACTAGCAGCTCATAGCTACTCTCTCATTCAGCTCTCAACAATTTGAAAAAATAACCGTATGAGAAAAAAAATTTAAGTAAAAGCCCTGACCGCTCCTTCCCTGTATAACTTTATACTAATAACATGTACAACTGTATCAAATCTTGGCCATAAACCATGGTATTAAAGTAGATAAATGCAAATTCGTTAACATTGCCCTTAAATGAGAAACTAGGAACATCATCATGATCCTATCTACATCTAAGGCCTTATTTGGCAAATGGCGGTTGGCTGGTTCACTTGGCTTGTTTGAAATTGGAATGTTTGGCTGTTTATAATGGCTTTTGAAATTGGTTGTTTAAACTGGTTGTTTATAAAAGTGTTTGCTAAATTAATTGTTGGTTGTTGGCTTTTTATTAGATAATTTGTGGGTCAATAAGCCAAAAAGTCAACAAAAAAAAAAGTTACTCAAAGCAGCTTTTTCATTTTGACTTAAAAGCCAGCTTTTTCGCTGACTAAAAAACCAATTGCTAAACACATTTTTTAGCTGTTTGATCACCTAAAAAAGCCAAAAACCAAAAGCTAACCAAAAAGCCAATTACAAAACATGGCCTAAGATATAAAAATCCTAGTGCATACCATTGATGAATGTTCTAATTAACTATATTTATTATTTTTAACTTTAGCATAGATATAGAAAGAGAGAGAAATTTGCCAAGGATAAAATTGGCCTTGGATTAAATGTGATAATGTGGATAGGATTAGATGTTTGAATCATATTGCAGTTTCTTCTCTATCAAGTTGATTCACATTTGTATTTCAAAATATAGTAATCTAGTAAAGTACATTATTTCAAGTACAATGCATATTTGGAGCAAGCCCAAAGTACTTAATTAATTATCAAACTTTTACTTCTACTTTATCTTCCAATGTGAATTAATAGCTGCTATGCTGTAATTAATTAAAATAAAAAATAAAAAAAATAAAAAAAAAAACAGACAAATGCAGGAAATGGGGTGTTGGCTACAACTACAGAAATAGAGTGCATAAACTCAAGCAAGCATCAAATCATGGTAGCGATGCCATGATGAATAAAAACTTCTAATTATGAGCATGCAGGAAGGAAATCATTGATTAACATCATAAGAAGAATGGAGATAAACGGTACATACCAACTCTGGAGGAAAAAGATCTGATTCAACGAAGAGTCTTTTGGCTAAGTCTACTTTTGATAGCCGCTCCGCAAGATCTTTTAGATCTAAGGTCAAAGATGGTATCTAGTATAGATTACAAGAACAAATAAGAAAGCTTTACAAGGCATCCTGGCATAATAATAGATGTAATCTGCTATCAGAATACAGAATGAGAGAAAGTATATTAATCAGAACACAACTGCATTAAAGATTTTTTCTATTTGTAGCCCTAAGGGTGTACAAGCATAATAGATATTCCCAAAAAGAGTACCAGCATAATAAATATTTCCAAAAAGAGTACTAATTCAGACTTTATGAGTCATGCACCAATCCAAGTGCTATCAATGGAAAAATTAATGCTTAATCAATACTATAGTATAGTCATGTAAAACCAAGTATGTATATTTCATAGCTTTCACAGTTGTCCAATTTCAGCAGTTTTACCTTCTTCAACATCCGTTTCAGAAACTTCTTAACATTTACTATTGAAACACAAATTAAGGCTAAAGACCTAAAGGAAGATAGAGTGTAAAAAAGGGGTGTGTGTGAGAAAGAGTGGAAACATAAGAAAGAATGAGAGGAAAGATGGAAGTTTGAGGGATATGAGGGGTAAAATAGTACAAGAGGTTCGCCAAAAAAATGAAATAAAGTAAAAGTGTTAAGATTTAAAAACATCATGGAATGCAAGAAAATAAAAGGTGTATTAAACTTTCTGTAACAGGGTAAGTATCCACCAGTGAACACTTTCTATCAATTTAATAAGTCATCATCTATATTCATCTCTAATGAAGAATAAAACAGACAAATATCATTTTCTTGTGCAAGTACAACGATATGATTTTCAGCATTTACTACTTTTGGGAAACAGGAAAAGATAGCCCCAGTAAAAAAAACAAAAAAAAAAAAAAAAAAAAAAAAAAAAAAAAAAAATTGCAAAAAACCACCTTTTAAATCTTATTTTTGCATATAACCACCTTTTAAAAAAAATGTTGCAAAAGACCACCAATTTAAAACTTTTGTTGCAAATTACCATCATTTCATTTTAAAACAATTGATAAATTTGGCCTAAAAAGTGGTATTTTGCAACAAAAATTTTAAAATTGGTGGTCTTTTGCAACATTTTTTTTTAATAGGTGGTTATATGCAAAAAACAAGATTTAAAAGGTGGCTTTTTGCAAAATTTCCAAAAAAAAAATCCCAAGAAATTAAAAATAGTAATGAATTAATAATAAAAGTGACACGATTTTTTTAACAGCTCTAGACTGCATGAAGCCATCACTGACATTTGATCTATAGGATTTTGCTTGTCAACAAAATGTACAAGCAGCCAACCAATAAAAGAAATATTACATATGAATGCAATAATAAGCAGCCAAAGACAAGTAAACGACCAATAAAAAAATACCTGAATAGGAAAAGAGGATTCTTTAAAGATTGTTAAAAAAAACTCAACTGTTAGCATCATAAATGAGTCAATAAAGCAGTTTTCTACTATCTGAAAAAGAAATACGCCTAATTATTCAAAACCAACTACATTACAAATTTTCAAGGTTAAATGGTTGGTGGAGGCATAGTCTGTCAAACTGCAGTTGAATGAAACACTGATGTACACTTTGTTGACAAAATGCAAAGGGAACATGAAATTTCAGCAATTAATCCCAAAATTATATGTACTATCAACTTAAGAATTCTGTGTTGGCCTCTTATAAATCTTAACCCATATATAATTGAAGAATGACAACTTTCATTAAAATAGTTTAGCAGCATGATTCCATCAGATAAAGTAAAGACCTAGCTGGAGTAGTGAACAATTATAAATACTAGAAGAACTATGAGTGCACGATAATCACTGCAGATATATCAATTCAGCAGAGGTTCTTGCTAATAACAGCAAAGACTTTTTAAAGCAGGGGTGTTTGCAAGATGCACCAAACAGTTCTAGACGTTGGCTAAGATAGCTAAGTATATTCAACTATGACTACTTAGGGGCATTGTGATAATGAGTTCTTAAAACAGCTATCTATTCCTAGCAGAAGAACACCTTTAAACTCTTGAAAACAGCATCCTGAAGTATCAAAGGAACATCAGCAACTGCAAAGCTTTTACCAACAACAATATCGATGATTATAGTTTACTTATCCTTAAGTATCAAAGGAACATCAGCAACTGCAAAGCTTTTACCAACAAGGGTATCGATAATTATAGTTTACTTCACAATCTTAAGGCTAGTTTGGCATTATTTTGTTTTAGTGTTTTGAGTTTTTGAAAAAAAAACAAAAAATTAGCTTTTGTTTTGATTTAAGATTTTTTTTTTTTTTCAAAACTCAAGAAAAAAAAAACACAAATTTAATCAAAATAAAATTTAAAAAATTGGGATACCCATTTAGCCTCTGATAATACACAAGGATGGCCACCATCGATGTTTTCCTATACAATCATCATCATTCAACATTGTTACTGTTAGCCCTATTTATCCCTTCCTTCTGGGTTTAAATTTGACATAAAAGCTTAAATTAATATAAATTATTTACAGGAAAGGGGAGGATTGTGAAAACACAAAGAAAGAGTAGATTAGTCGGCAAAGTCAATGGCAATAGAAGGCGGTGGAAAAATAAGAACGTAAAGCATGTTCCATGTCATTGCTGCGTTGGTAATTGCAGAATTTCGCTTGCCGACATCTTCACGGTTCAGACAAGAATAATAAATATTTCCAATCATCGACTTTTCAGCCCCATTGTCGATAGTACGCTCTAGAATGATAATGTTAAAGAGATGAAAAAGTTTGCGCCTTTGATTAACCTAGTATGTGTATGAATGAAAGAAGATTAGACACAGGAAAGATGTGGGGGATGAGGGTTTTCCAAAACCAAAACTATATAACAGCTTTTGGTGGTTTCCTCTTTTCCGTTGCAGTTTTATAAAAAAACTATTCAAATTTTGTTTTTTTAGGCGGTGTAGCCAAACGTTAATTAGTTTAATATTTGTTTAAATAAATGGAAAAACAATATAATAAAATAAAATAAAAAAACCGCAATAATCCCAGACACCCCCTTAACAGTTAAGTAGTTTCCTGTTTGCAACAAGGCAGCCACTCAACTTGGACACGTAGTCACACCATCACACAAAAATCCTAGTCAATCCAATGTGCCAGCACCAAAATGAGCATATATACAAATGAAATGATCCCTGAAATTCAGCCTTTAAGATTTTAAAACACCTTAATTACACTTCAGAGCTCTGGATGAGGTTGGCGCTTATTTTTGTACCCCAGGGGGTCTTTCTACTGTTCTATACAAAAGGATCCAAATCTTAAATTGGAAAGTAACAAGCAGAATTGTGGGAGCAACTTAAACATAAGCTTATTGATATAGGTAGTACAAAGTAAACTGTCAGAAAAGGAGAAATCCATACATCAACCATGCACATAAATCAAGACATGCTTGTTTAGATCAGATATCATACACTTGAAGCAAATGCAAGCAAAAGAAAGATAAAACTAAAATACCAATTGCATAGATGTTCAGTTGATACCTCTTGGATGCCAATTGCTTCATCCTGCATGAGAAAATCATCATCCCTATTCTGTAAAATGATCTTTTTCCCCCTAACAGCAAGCATTGGTGCCACTCCCTGACAAAACTCTAGAAATAATACATGTTAATATAATAAAGAGCTTACAGAAAGTCATTTAACTTTGAGTATTGGACAAACCAATTCATCAACATGAACATCAAACAGAATCAGAATGCCCATTGTCCAATTACAACACTTTAACCAAATCAAACTCCACTTTAAGCACCCAGCATGAAAATGTATCAAAACTCTAAGATTCACACAACATTCAACAAATCTTGCACTTTTCAACCCAAAAATCAAAGTACCCTTTTACAATTATAACACTTTAATTAAAACTGTGAAATGTTACTCGGCAAACATCAAACAAAATCAACACTTTTAATCATCAATTCAACCAAGGTGCCCCAATTCATTTTGACCAACAAAAATAACATAAACAATATAAAAATTGCACTCAATTAGTAAATTACAATTAAAATATGAGAATTCACCAGGCATTCTATCATCAAAAGAATTGGAAAAATGAGAGGGAGACTCCTTAGCTTGGGCAATCAATTCACTGAAATTGGCCCCTTTACTCTTGGGTTTAACCACATCATCCGAATCCAATTCAACACTGTTTTCTTCAATTTCATCATCGTATCGATCCCAATTGGAAGGGAGTGAAGGCGGTGATGGTTGAGTAGTCCTCTTCTTATCTTTACCATCTTTTGAAGTTGCAGAATTCGAAGTTGAAGAAGAAGATGAAGTATTCTTGGAAGAATGATGATGGGGTTTTCTGGGTTGATGATGTTGAGTGTGAGATCTCTTCGATTTTGCTAGAGATTTTACGTCCATTATTCTTGTTGGTTTTTTCTGCTGTTTCACCTCGTTTCTTGTTCAATACGGCTGACGAGGGAGACTTCGAAACGAGTCTCTGAGTCTTTACCCCTAGTTCTGTAGCAGTGTTGAGTGCTCCTTTACCATTAATGATATATGCAAAATCAGAAAATCTTACGCGAATATTATCGTGGACCTAAGGTTTATACACACGTAATTGACATTATATTCAACATTGTGACCCTAATTTTAATATAGTAACTAAATTTTTAATATAGTAATGTTACTATGAAGTTAAAATACGACACTATATTGAACTAATTTTATCATTGTGATCTTTATTATTCATATTGACCATTATACTAAAAATTTCATTAAAAAATTAACCTCTTATAGCTTTTGTAATGTCATACTAACTTTTATTTCAACATAATAACCTTTGTTTTAGGGCCTGTTCACATTTACTTAATTTCAGTTCAGTTCAGTTCAGCTCTAATCAGTTCAGTTCAGTTCAGTTCAGCTCAGTTCAGTAAATGTAAACAGGCTCTTAATATAGTGACCTTTATTTTTTTTATTAATCAAACAATCATACACTAGTAGAAAATATCAAAAAGGCACCCCTTAATTGGCACCGGTTCAGTCCAAACCGGTGCCAAAAATGGGCTACAAAACTGGTACAAAGCTGAACCAGAATAAAAGGCACCGGTTCACTTCAAACCGGTGCCTAAAACATAAAGGCCACCGGTTTGAACCGGTGCCTTTGCGAACCGAACCTTTTAATTATTAAAAAAAAAACCGGCCTTATCTCTCCTTAAAACCCTAAAAGCGCAGCTTGCTCCTCCCTCTCCTCTCAATCCGCCTCTTTCACTCTCTCCTTTCCCTTCTCTCTCCTCGATCTCCCTTCTCTCTCCTCGATCTCTCCGTCCCATTCACTTCTCTTTCTCTACAACAACAACAACACCACCGCAACAAGAACAACACCACCACCGCAACAACAACAACACCACGGCAACAAGGGTTTCACCACCGTAACAAACAACAACAACATTAAGGGTTTTTTGTTTCAATTTTTTTGCGTTTCTGGGTTTCAACGGGTTTTTTGTTTCAATTTTTTTGCGTTTATGGGTTTTTGTTTCACTTCTCTTTCATTTTTTTTTGTTTTCTGGGTTTTTGTCGATTAAAATCCAAATAGTAAGGGTTTTGTTCGATTTCAATTTTTGTTTTCAGATTGGGTTTCTGGGTTTTTGTTTTTTGATTGGGTTTTTGTTTTTGCGTTTCTGGGTTGTTGTTTTCAGATTGGGTTTTTCAGATTTGGGTTTTTGCGTTTTGGTTTTTCAGATTGGGTTTCTGGGTTTTCGTTTTTCAGATTGGGTTTGAATTTTTTTTTCAATTTTTGGGATTAAATTCTGGGTTTTTTTTCGAAGCTTAATTGTATTAATGTTTTTTTTTTATAATTGGTGCAGATATGTTATTCAGATATGAAATCGAAGAAGCAAGATACAAGAATGAATGGTGTTTTTGTTGTTTTTATTTTATTAACAATATTGTAATTTTTTTAAAAAAATTTATATTGTAATTTTTTTTTGTATTTATATGTTTTAATTTTTTTTTTTTGATTATGTATTGCAAATTTTCAATGATATTGATGTTGTAATTTTCGATGATATTGATGTGTTTTAATCGATATTCGATTTATGTTACGTTTTGATGTTGTTATGTATTTTAGACTAATTAATTTTTAAGTGGAAAAAACAAAAAAAAATTATATTTTTGGCACTTTTGGCCCCGGTTAACCGATGCCAAAAACAACAAAATTATTTTTTTTTTTTTGTCCATTTTTGGCACCGGTTAACCAGTGCCAATTCCAAGTTTTGGCACCGGTTCGAACTGGTGCCTTTTAAAACCCCTTTTTGGCACCCCCCACATTGGCAGCGGTTCAAACCGGTGCCTTAGGCCGGGTTTGAACCGGTGCCAAATTCATTTTTTCACGTAGTGATATTGTCTCTAATATTGGTGGTCCACAATAAATTAGTGTGAACCAGGTTCAATTAAGAATTTGTAATGCAAAATAATACAACCTCAACTATTTGTTGTCAACAGTACAACCTTTTGTACTATGTGTCTACAATATTATTATTATTATTATTATTATTATTATTATTATTATTATTTTATTTCAAAAACAAAAGTCATACAACCTACAGGAAATTTGTGGGAAGCCGAGATACAATCTAGACCCCCGCTCCTCTAGCTATAGAAAAGCCTACCTTAGTGAAGATATGAGCTGCAGCACAAACCCCATTGTCTTGCGTCGTCGAGAACCTCTGAATCCGCTTCAGCAACGCAATAGTCTCCTTCTCTAATTCCCCGAGCGAAGAAAAAGAGAAGGAGACTATCAAGATTAAAATGACTTTTCACCGATTTTCAAAAAAAATAAAACGATATTTTGATTATTTCGAAACAAAACGACCTTTGACATGCATCTTTTATAAATAAAATAAAATAAAATAAAAAATTGGTGACCTACTACATAAGTTACTTTAGACACATGTCACATTGTGATTTGTTAGGATGGATTTTTTATTTCAATTTTTACAATCTTCTGTGAAATAAAATGAATTTTATTTTATTTTTATTTTAAAAAAATTAAAAAAAAAAAACACCCTACCCTTACCCATTTCAACGATCAGGGACTCCCTTCCTTTCCTCTCCCTGTAGCGACACCAACACCAGCCACCTCCTACGCGAAGCCACCGAACCCCCTCCCCCTTTCCGCTTCCCGAGACACCCCTAGCCCTCCACCTCTTCTCCCTACAGCGCCCCAAGTCCTCCCCCTCCCCTTCTCGCAACGCCAATTGTGCGCCACGACTTGTTATCGTGGTGGGTGTTTTACAATGACGGGGGTAAGAATTGGTGATGGAAGGGTTTCGAGTGCGAAATTCCGAGCTCGTAACGGGTTGGGAAGGGGGTTTCGGCCAACAGGTTTGGGCTAGTGTGGGATTTGTCGGGGATGACGGGATGTGGAGAGTGGGGGTGAAGGCTGGCCATAGATTCCGGGGCTGGTGGACGATGAAGGTGGGGGCTGGAGTTGCGGTCCGGGGATTGGGTGCTATATGGGGTTTGTCGGGGCTGGAGATGGTGAATAAGGGTGATGGTTGGTGGTGGTTGGGTGGTGGCAGTGGGGCGGTGATGGGATTAATTAGTTTTTTTCAATAAAATAAATATTTTAATATGAAAATTGTTATAAAAAAAACTTACCTATCACATTATGACATGTGTCCTAATTAACCTATTCAAATGCATATCAAAGGTCGTTTAATTCCAAAATAATTCAAAGGGTTATTTTATTATTAGAAGACTCGTTAAAGGTCGTTTTATTCTTGACAATTTTTCCTTTATTTTATTTACTAGAGCATAGGGGTGAGTGATTAGGGGATTTTAATCCACCAATCACCGTCTGACAAGTGGACCAACCAGGTTCCGCCACGTGTCCTTCACGTAGGCCAATAGGAGCCTGCCACGTGTCAATCACAGATACGTCCTCTACGGACCAATTGAGACACGCCACGTGTCCACCCATGCCAAATGGGAAAACCGGCCAACAAGGCCCAATCTTGTTTAGAGGCCCGGTCAGCCCTAGGTTTACCCTAAACCTAGAGAGTGGCACGCTTCTCAAGACTATAAATACTTAATTAATCCTCATTAAGAGAGACAGAACAGAAACGTTACGGAACACACTAATAACCGGCTGATCTCGCTAACAAAGCAGATTACCAACATTAAACACTCTCACCTAGAGAGACCTTATTACTTTAATTTCCGCATTAATTACTCCTTAATCAGGTACTAACTTGACCGTTGGAGGCGGAGCTCTCAGGAGTCTCCGTTATTTTGCAGGTACAGGCGTCCGGTTCTAGTCTCGGAATTGTAACTCTCCCGCAGGACATCAGAAAACCCCGAAACATTTGGCGCCGTCTGTGGGGAGAGTACTTCAGAGATGGCATCCAAGTCTGTACCGACTCCTGAAGAGAGGCGTCCCGTAGACGACCCTCAAGTTCAGTCGGACCATGACACCGAAAGTGAATTTGAAGTTGAAACTCATACAGCTCCAGACGGGACCCTAAGGGCCCGACGTACCCGTCATACCGAAAGGAGGGAACGGGAGCATCTTCAAACAGGAAGCGAGCCAGCAGGCGCACCGCCTGTTCGGCAACAGCCGACTGACGGGTCTGCTCCCATCACAAGGAACGAACTCATGACCTTCATGAGGGACTTCAAGGGAGAGATTCAAGAGTTGATCAACAAGAAGCCGACTGCTTTAGTCAAGGAGCGGTCGGCCAAGAAACCCTCCACTTCACTGAAGAGGAAGCCAGTTCAAGGGCGAGAGGCGACTCCTCATCCTAAATCTAGGAAGCGGGAGCCACCTGCCCTTGATTTCACAAAATTCCGTTATCCTACAGGAAATAGGAAACCAGTTCGTCATATTCAGGCGGACGGGTCAAAGCAAACATTCACAGATGCTCGGCTGCTGCTAGAGCAGAAGAAGAGTGACCGATTGTCAGAATCGGCTTCTACTTCAAACTTTCAAGACAGTTTGCGAAATGCCTCGATGAGGCATACTCAGTCGTACCATGAGAGTCAGTCAGGCGGCACCTCCCGTCAGTCCGGCTTTCATAGTGCCCAGGCGGTACCAAACTTACCATTTGTGCCGCAACAACAGTATTTTATGCAGCCACCTCCATTTGGTGGACCTACAGCAAAAAACGTCCAACCTATGGACTGGCAGCTACGGTTGCTTAGACTTGGTGAACAGCCGTCGGCCTTCTCCAAGGAAATTACTGAAGCCGCTCAGCCGGCCAAAGTAAAAAATGTACTAGTAGGCGCCTATGACGGCACTACTAACCCAGAAGACCATCTGATGGCATTCACCAACCTGATGTACCTCCAAGGGTTGGATGATCCCACTTGGTGCAAGTGTTTCCCAGCGACTCTCAAAGGAATCGCACAGCAATGGTTCGGCAACCTGCCGACTGGTTGTGTAAACAGCTTCAGGACGCTTGCTTACTTGTTTGCCTCCAACTTCGCCATGAACATCCCTGCGAAGAAAACGACCCTTGATTTGGGAACAATTCAGCAGGGCGAGAAGG